GGGAGGAAGAGGAAGAGGTACATACACACTAAGGTGCCCCCCCCCAAGACTCATGCCCTGAACAGCCCTCCTGCTTGGGTGTGGGCATGTCTGTAACCTGCTTCTAATAGCCACAACAAAGATGGTGAGATGTCACATGTCTGATCATGTCTTATGACACTGTGTCTTAGAAGACTGAAGAGTGAGAGTGCTTCTGCCAGCCTTGAGGAAGCAAGAAGCATGGGGTAAGCTGCCCGTGAGGCAGGGAGCTACAGGTGGCTCTATGACTAAAGGGTGACAGCTATTAAGAAGCAGGGGCCCCCAGGCAAACAGCCACAAGGAAATAACTTCTGCCAACAGCCCAAAGGAGCTTAGAAGTAGATTCTTGGTGAGTAGAATGTGCCCAGCTGACACCTCAGTTGGAACGTGGGAAGTCACTGAAGAGAGGACTCAACTGAGCCAGTCCCAGACTTCTGATGCCCTGAAAACACTAGATACAAATAAGGGGCATTTTACATCAGTAAGCCAGTGGTGATGTTACAGAGCAACAGATAAGGGGGAGAGAGAGAGAGAGAAAGAGAGAGAGAGAGAGACAGGAGGCTGAAGACCTTAGGTGGCTAGCTTTATTAACTACAACTTCTGAGCAGCATTGTCCATGTGACTGAAACCGACAAAGGCTGCTGGATAATAGGAGTGTGAGGGCAGAGAAAAGCAAGAGGCGGTAGCACTAGGAATTCATAGAAAATGAGGAGGCTTTGATGGTCATGGTCCTAAAAGGCCACTGTAGACAAGGTATGCAGGACTCTGCATGTAGCAGAGGAGTGCTACATGCCCTCGATTACAGGGGACTTCCCAGGGGAGGTGACATGTAAGCTAGCTATAGGTGCTCAAATCCATGAAGGAAACAGTCATCCCAGGAGGCTGCCTGATGAGAGCAGGGTTTCACAAAACACCCAGGCCTTGGAGAAGTTTCAGTAAGTTAGAAAAACAAATACATAATATCCATAATATACCAGGAGCTGTGCTGAGTCTTATTTAATTTTCATAGCAACTCGGAGGGAGATCTTCTGCCCATTTTGCAGATGACACTGAGGTTCCGAGGCTTAAAGATGTGTAAACTCGAACACTAACAAGTAAACCCAAAGCTCCTGATCCTTCTCCAACCCTGTAGAGGTCCTGAGCCTCCCCAGCCTGTGCTGCCTCCTTCCTTGTGACTCATGCCGCCACGACTGGCCCAGGGCAGGCTGCATTCAGCTGGAAAGCAGAACACCTATCTAAGAAAGGGACTGGGCTTGGGGTAAATTCTGGAAAAAAGGAGGCCCGAGAGTTAGAAGATGTCACATTGTGGGAGAATAACTGAACCGGGCTCCATGCCAACCCCACTGGCCCCACCTTGCTCCCATTGGACCTCCACCTATGGAAAAAAATGTCCCTATGACTGTCTGCTACTGGATGTGAGGTCCCCCCAAGATAGGCCCTTGTGTCAGCCCTCAAAGTCACTGCCACTTCTCTCTACATCTTGTCACAGATTTCTAGTCTCCTGCATCAACTAGTTCCACTGAGCACCAGGTATAGCTGGATGTGAAAGATGAGGAGACATGACCCTGCCCCTCCCGGTATCTTGCACACATCCCTACCCAGGGAGGGGCCCTGCCGATGACCCCCGCCTTCAACAGCGGGCGCTTCTTGTTCAGTGAGATGACTGGTTATGCCAGGATTCCTCAGATGGATGTCACTACTGTGTATGGGGCATGGTGGTGCATGCCTGTAATCCCAGCACTTGGGAGGCTTAGGCACAAGAATTGTGAGGCCAGTTAATGCTACATAAAAAAAATTTACACGGTGCCTGTACCCCATAATGAGGTACATAAACTGTGGCCACAAATTTGTTTATCCAGCAACACTAAGCACATCCCAGGACACAAGCTGTCATCAATAGCCACCAACAAATGAGGAGCTGGGAGGATTTCACAGACAGAAGCCTGAGCTAGGAGAAGGGAGGGTGTCAGGGGGTGTCAGGGAAGGTGTGGAGCCACTAGACTATGTGGCAAACTTAAGGACGAGGAGGTGGCCAGCCTGATTCCAGGGCATGGTACGGGGAGGGGGTGGCAGGTAGTCCTGGAGACAGGTAGACGGATGGCAGATTATAGGCCCGTTTGAGAATCAAGGAGGGAGGTTTCAGGATTCAGAAACATGCCATTGTTCCTGCAGGAAGGTTCAATTCTCCCTTGGCAGGAAATGTGAGCACACTTTTTTCCCTCAGTAACACGGTTGCTCTGCACCAGTCCAAACTGTGTAATAAACAAATGAGACATATGACCATGCTGGCTTTTCTCAAGTTCATACCACAGGCCAGTTCCAGCCAAGAGAAAGCACTCTGGGCTGGCAGAGAAAGGCAAGACTCAGAGGTCTAGACGGAGTCTTCATCACCAGGATCAAGGAATCCAGGCTGGTGTGCCTCACCACAGATCACATGACAATGGGGCAGGTCTAGGACTCAGGACTATGAAATCCTCTCAGCTCCTCATTTGTTGGTGGCTATTGATGACAGAAAGAAATGATTTTCTTTCTTTTATAATTTTTTTGCCGGGTGTCGGTGGCTCATGCCTATAATCCTAGCTACTCAGGAGGCAGAGATCAGGAGGATCGCAGTTCAAAGACAGCCCAGGGAAATAGGGCTGGTGGAGTGACTCAAGGTGTAGGTCCTGAGTTCAAGCCCCAGTACCACCCAAAAATAATTTTTTAGCAGTACTGGGATTTGAACTCTGGGCCTCGAGCTTGCTAGGCAGGCACTCTCCTCTGTAAGCCATTCCACCAGCCCAATTTTCTTTCTTAAACTAAGTGACTTGCACAAGGCCACACAGCTTACAAATGGCAGAGCCAGGATGGGAACCCAGGTCTGTCTTAATTCAGGGTCCACAGAGGGGGCTCTGCCTCCGTGAGGGACTCTGTTCTGAGTAAGACATGATGCCCAGGCAGCAAGGACAGTCCATAGCACAAAGATGCTAGCAGGAAGCTGTGCTTCCTCCACCCACTTCTTCAGCACTTCTTCAGCTGCTAGGGAGTTGTCTGTTTCCCTGCTGGTTGCTCTGCAGTCCAAGTGCAGCTTGAGGGCAGAGGAGTACCGTGTTTATCTCTGGATCTGCAATGCTCAATGCAGAAGTGAACATCCAGAAAACACAGGGTTGACGCAGTACTTAATCCACTAGGCCAGTGTTCTGAGTATCGACTCTGTGAGCGTGGTGGCTGACATACCTTGCTTATGACCCAGTGGAAAATAGAAACGAGGCAACAAGGGGAGCTCTACAGAGTAACAACGTGTGATAAGTGCCATGTGGGAAGAACAGGGCAGTGTGAGGGACAGCAAGGGTGTTATGGAGGATAGGTGGGGAGGATCTCTCTAAAGAGTTGACATGCATGTTGAGAGCCAAAGAAAGAGGAAGAGGAAGAGGTGTAAAACGGCGGGGAAACACGTTCCAGACAGACATGTGTGGAGGCCCTGACGTGAGGAAGGGTTTAGTCTGCTTAGGGGACCAAAGGCTCCTGGGACTGGACTGAATGTGACATGAGATGAAGTGGGGTAGGCAGGCACAGATAGTGCAGGGCTTCCTAGAGCAGGTTAACGATTTGAGGGTCTATTTTAAATGCCATGGGAGCATCTGAAGGTAGATGAATAGCACGGCCTAATCTGGGTTTCTAGAGATCATTCTGCCACTGGGTAGAGAATGGATGGCAGGGGACCAAAAACTGCAGCAGGTGATGAGTAAGGTCACTGTGGAGTCTGACCAGAAGAAAGAGTCCTGAGCCTTGTGGAGGGACGAACTGTTCGACTTTAGAGGCAGAATGGGCCTGAGTTGCTGACATAGGCATGGAGTGAAGACACAGAGTAGTCATGGGGCTGGGCAGATGGAGGTGACATTTATGGCAACAGAAAGCAGGAGAAGGAACCATGTGCTGGGTAAAATCTTAAGTTGGTGACATTGAACTTGAAATGCCTGTGAAATGTCCAAGTGGAGGTCAAACACGTAGTCAGTTAATGGAATGTGGGCTCACAGGACAAGTGTGTGTCGGGGGGTCTCTATTCCCCGGGAATGCTGAGCTTACAGCTTGTTATGGTTTGGATCTGAATTGTTCCCCCAAAAGCTCACGTGTTAAAGGCTTGGTACCTAAAGCAGAAGTGTTCACCTCTGGAGGTGACTGGATCAGGAGGGCTTTGACCTCAGCAATGGATGAATTCATTGATGGATGCATAACCTAATGAAATATTGGAAGGTGGTAGAAACTCCAGAATGTCTACTTGCAGGAAGCAGGTCACTCGAGGCATGCCCTTGAAGGGTATCTCTTGTCCTCAACCCCTTCCTGTGTCTCTTTGCTTCCCAGCCACCATGATGTGAGCAGCTTTGCACCACCATACACTCCCTCCATGATGTTCTGCCTCATCACAGGCCCAGAAGCAATGGAGCCAAGTAACCATGAACTGAAACCAAAAAACATGAGCCAAAATAAATCTTTCCTCTTTTAAGTTGATTTTCTTATGTATTTTGTCACAGTGACTGCAAGCTGCCTAACACACAGGTGGCACATTTCAGGTTAGGTGAGAAGGCTTGAGGATCTGTGACATGCAGAGGCTGAGTCAAGAGAGAGCAACTGGAACAAAGGGGTTGGGAGCAGACAGAAGCCAGGAGAGGTAAAGCCACAGGAAGAGTATTCCAGAAGGGTAAGAGTGGTCAGTGGTATGGCCTACTGTGGAGAAGTCACAGAGAAAGAGAACGGATATTATCCTTTGGATTTAGTAGAGTGGAGGACCCTGATGACTTGACAGACTCACCAATTCAGTGAGACCCAGCATGGGTTGAGGAGTCAGGGAAAGCTTCCCGCTGGAGGTGGCATTTCAGTAGAGCCTGGGAGATGGGTCCTGAGAGAAATGCTACTCCGAAGCCTGGATCACTCCTCCACAACAGGGAGCCAGGGAGGCTGTCCCCAGAGACCAGAGCCCAGCTCCCTCCCCACCCGCCTCTCACCTGGAGACCACCAGAGGCAGGATCAGCATCTTCAACATCCTCATCAAGAGCTCACCAGGGAACTGGAAGTAACTAATCTCCTGCAAACACATAAGTGCTGGGGTTACACAGGTGGGGCTCCGTTCTTTCCATCTTCAAAGCACTGTCCCATCTGCACTCTCCTTTCTAGCACATGGGTGGCAGAGGCCAGGGAGAAAGAAAGAACTGGCTCTGGAGTCAAACCAGGGTTCCAATCTAGCAACCTTCACTCCCCATAACCACCTGTGTATCCTTACAAAAGTTACTTGACCTCTCTGAGTTTTTCTCATCTGTAACCTAAGGACCATAACTACATCAGTCACTGAGAGGGTCAAATGAGAGAAGGCACATGAGCACTTAGTGGACCTGGAAGAGAGCAAATGTTCAACAACCCCAGCACACAGTAGCACTCTCCATCTGTATCCTTCACCCTCCTGGCCCTGTATAAAATCTGTCTGGTCCAGTGGAAGGGCTGCATGACATTCCTGAACCCACACTGTGCCAGGCATCACACTGGGGACCCATACACAAATGGATTAGGCACCATTCCTTCCCTGGAGAAGTTCCCAGCATAGTTTCTGGGGAGGCTGACTCAGATGCAGACCACAGCCTTTTGCTGAGCCAGTTTCTTTACCTGCACTGGTTCATCCTCCAGCCTTGCCCCACAAAACTCCAATAAAAGGCTGGGATTTGACATGAGACACCACTCAGTGTGAAGACCAGAGTCCTTGCCTCTACCTCTTCATAGGCTGCTGGCCCGAGCCTTCCCTGGATTGTTCCAGGGCCTCTCATCAACGGCCTCCCCATAACAGGTCACAGAGCAGAGGCCCACAACAGAAGCGACAACAGAGGCAGTAGGGTCTGCCAAGCCCAGTTAAATTTGACTTTCAGATAATAATGAAAATTTATTCTTTACTTGTTCTAAAGAAATGATTTGTTGTTTATTCAAAATTCTAGTTTAACTGGGTGAACTGTTTCTAAAGTTTAACTTCAATTTTTCTACTTCTGGCAACTCCAGTTTGAGGCCCCTTTCTCCAGAGGAGGTTGTGGATGAATCAGGCAAATGAACTTGCAAACACTGTCCAAGTTACATTTTTGAACTTGCAACTATTAAAAAACAAAAAAAACAGTGGCAAACATAATGATTTGTTAATGATCTGATGTTTTGAAAAGCCCCAGATCACAGAATTTTGGTGCTGTGCAGGGACTTTAAAGACATTATCCAACCCACTCATTTTGTAGATAAGGAAGCTGAGCTAGATGGAAGTGACTTGCCCATGGAGTGACAATGCAGAACAGAGAAGCACGCTTCTTAGTTCCATCCTACTACCATTTTCAAGGCACCAGAAAATCTGCTTCTTACAGAAATACATTTTAACCCTTGTGTATATTCTTTAAATAAATAGTGCTCTAATGATCAAAAGAAAGCCCCTTCCTCACCTCTCTAGCTCCCAACTTCCCAGGAGCAAACATTCTCAACTTCTCTGTCTCCTCTAGTACTCTTATATCTAAACAATATGGTTAGTGCTATTTCTTATCTTACCAACTTTAACATCTATTATCTTCTCTGCCATTATTGGTGAGGGTTTAGTCTCTACCCTCCTTTTCTTCTTCCCATACCACCATTATATTTATATCAGTTTTGGAATGAATGAATCTATCTATCTATCTATCTATCTATCATCTATCTATCTTTATATCTACATCTATCTATCTATATATCTTTATATCTATATCTATCTATCTATCTAACTTTTTTCTTTTTTGTGAACTGGGGTTTGAGCTCAGGGCTTCAAGCTTGCAAAGCAGGCTCTCTACCACTTAAGCCACAGCTCCAGTATTTCAGAGATGGAGTCTTGCAAATTATTTGCCTGGGCTGGTCTTGAACCACAATCCTCCCAATCTCAGCCTCCAAGTAGCTAGGATTACAGGCATGAGTCACTGGTGCCTAGGTGGTGTACAATATTTGCTCATCAAATATTTTTCACTGCTAAACTGAGCAATTTACTACAACCATGTCTCATTTCTTGTACCCCCTTCATTTCTGCCCTGAGGTTAATAATTACCTGATTTTTTTTTCATTTGCTTCCTTTTCTGTGAACCACTAATTTCTTCCAAATGTTTTAACTTGTCTGTTAAAATGCAATAGTATTTTCTACACACTCAAGAACATCAGTTCCCTTTTATCCTGCCTGGACCTCTGTCCAACAGCTCTCCATCTTCCTGTTCCAGTTTGGACAACCTGTTCTCTAGGCCCAGTGGCTGCCATGGGCCTCTTCTTGGCTTTCATTCTGGGACTTATCTTGTAGAGAATCCCCTGTTTCCTGGATCCTTGGTTCCTAGGTTTATTTCTTTGTTGTGCTGGAACATCTCCCTTGGTAGCTTCCTGAGGATAAAAATGGTGGAGGAAAACATCTAAATCCTTACATGAGGAAAAATGCCTTTGTTCTACCTTCTCCTCTGATAATATTCTGTCATTCTTAGTTGTAAGATTCTTAGTTGAAAAACAATTTCCAGTTTTGATCTCTTCTTTTTCTTTAACTTCCAGTATTGCTTAAGGTGTTCGATGCCATTGGTATTTCCTATTCCTTACATGAGTCCTGTTTCAGTCCTTTGGGATTCAAAGATCATGTGGGTTTGGAGGCATGGCTCAGGTGATAGAGTGCTTACCTAGCATGCCCAAGGCCCTGGGTTCAAACTCCAGTATGGGGGGCAGGGGGAGGAGGGAAATCATCTGTTTATTTACACTTTTCTATAACTTCATGGTGATATGCCTTAGTATGAGATGGTCTTCCTTCCTTTTTCTCCTCTCCTCTCCTTTTTCTTCTCCTTTCCTCTCCTCTTCTTTTTTCTCTTTCTCCCTCGCTCCTTTCCTTCCTTCCTCTCTTCTTTTCTTTCTTCTCTTCCTTCCTTTTTCCCTTTCTTACATTGTACTTACTTTTCAGTTCTGAGAAATTTTCTTGTGTTCTTTACAAATTATTTCCCTCCTCCATTTTTTTCTGTTAGTTTTCTTTAAAATTGTTATTAGATAGTTGGATACTGGACATTCTACTTTTCTTATATTTTTCTTTTTCTATTTTAGTGTTTTGCTTGCTGTGAGATTTCTAACTCTATCCCAGCTATTGACATTTCGTTCATGGCTTTTCTGTTTTTGATTTCCAAAGCCTCATTGTTCTCTGATTATCCCATCTTTTCAGCATCTCATTCTGACTTTTTGTTTATGTGTTTGTTTTTGTGGCACTAGGACTTGAATCCAGGGCATCATGCTCTACCACTGAGTGACACGCCCAGCTCCCACATTCTGTTTTATGATATCTATAATGAGCCTTCCTTATTCATGGATTTATTATATGTGGTTTTGACCAAGTACAGTCAAAAACAATAATTTTCTTAAAGAGGCAAAAGAAATATCAAAACTTAAAAATTTAAATTCCCGTGCACACATTACACAGCTCAGTTGATGTGGAGAAGCTCTCAGTCAGTCCTTGTTAGTTGTGTTTAAATCATTGTGTGATCCACCAAGTTTCTCTTCCCTGAATTTTGTGAAAATATGCCTCCCAAAAAACAAATGGTGCTTAAAAGCAAGGTAAAAGTGAAAATCTTAGATGTGTTTGAAGGTGACATGTCTTTAGCAGAAGTTGGATGGTGTTACGGGAAAAATGAATCAAGCCCTGGGTTCTAACTACTCTGGCTACAGCACCGAACTCTGTGTCCTGAGCGTGCATGGTGTTTTCTCGATGGTGGTCTCCTTGGCTATATAGCATGGATACCAAGGACCTACTGTAAATCTCTCAAATTTCCAAAGACCTTAAGAAATGATTTAAACATTTTTCTTCTACTCCCTGCATGGTTTCTGTGTCATTGGAGATCTTTCTCTTTGTTTAGTCTCTGTCTTTCACATTCACAGCTTTCCTCAAATTTCTGGGGATTTTGCCTTTCTGCTCACAGATAAGGGGCTTGGTGATGGGTATGACCTGGCCTTGTTACTGGGATTGAGTTGGGTAGAGGAATCTCCTGTTCAGCAGAATTCAGAGGTCTTCCCTCTGAGCTTCAGTAACAGGCCTTTTGTCTGGGGAGTGAGCTGCCCCTAAGCCCAGCTGCCAGCAGTCTTGAAGCCTTACAGAGGGTGTCACCCCCAGAGTGCAGGTGTCTGCTGATTAATGTGAAGCATGTGCCTCACCACCACCCTTGCCCCCGCTACACACAGTGGGCCTCCTATCCCACTCAAGCTTCTCTGGTTCCTTGGGCAGGGAGGAGGTAGAGACCAGAGAGTGAGGAATCCTCTGACACATGAACTGGAAGGGCCCTGGGGCTCTAACTACTGGGATTCAAAATTCCAGCCCAAGTCCCTGCTTTCAGCTCCATGCCTCACCTCTGCCTTGTGTAGCACCTTGCCCTTCCAAATCAGAGCCCGTCTGGAGTTCTACGAGACAAACCACCCACTACTCACTTCTATGGCTAGAAGATGGTAGCTTCGGCTGGGTGCGGTGCCATGGTCTGTAATACCAGCTACTAGGGAGGTGAAGACAGGAGGATCTCAGTCTGAGGCCAGCCTTGGCAAAAGCCCAAGACCCTATCTGAAAATCAAACTAAAAGCAAAAGCACTGAGGGTGTGGCTCAAGTGGTAAAGGTCTTGTGTAGAATGCACAAAGCCCTGGGCTGAATCCCCAGCATACTACACGCATGCTCATGCACCCCCCCCCCACACGCACCTCTACTAAATGAGGCGATTTCCACTTCTCATATTGCCTGATTTGTTGTAGTCTCTCAACTTTCTTTCTCCACTATTTCCCTTTATATTCTCTTTATTTTAGGTGATTTATAGCCTTTCAAAATTCCATTGATACAATTTTAGTGGGCTTCCAGGAAGAAAAGAAAACTGAATGCAACAGTAATTCTTTGGGGTTTAACTGGAAGTTCCAAAATGGTCTATATTTTTTTATTATTTTTTCTTTTATTCATATGTGCATACAATGTTTGGGTCATTTCTCCCCTCTTACCCCTGCCCCCTCCCTAACCCCCTCATCCCTGTCTTCCTCCCCCCCCCCACTCGCTACTA